CACCTCTGGGGAAAGCATTCTGCTACGCATTGTCACCGATTAACGCACTCGAACCCGCGACTCTGCGAGATGCAGTATTGGTTCCGTTTTGCAGGAAGTACGGCTGACGGATATATGTAGTGGCCAAATGGCTTATAGTTCCCCAACTCGCTAAATTATGGGAAGGGTAAATAGTCCCATTTCCCATACCTGATGCTAATTAAGTCAAACATCCACTGTACTCTTACTCGTAGGCCTAGATCTAAACCTAGCCCTCGCCAGAAACTTAAATCTATCCCTGATTTCTCTGGAATTTAGCCCAAGGCCGCCTATAGCACGTGCAGCTCCTGTTCCCGTGTCCTGCTGGGGGCCACGTAAGCAGTGAATCCTTCGTCAGTATGTTTACTTCGAAGTATATATACTACTCATAAAAGCACTTTTTTCCACTTTTTTCGGGAGTTTTTACCTACTGTCCAACTTTTAAGTCTTAGGTTAGTGTTATGTGTGGGGTTTACGTTTAGGATAGAGCTAAGCTTAGGGTTACAATTCAGTTTTATGATCGGATTAGGACATGCAAATAATTATCCGTCCTGAAATTTATCGCAAGGCGTGCGGCGTCCCTACTCCCCTGTACTGCTTAGGCGGTCATACAAGTCATCCTTGGTTGGATTAATTAACAAACCAAAGTCATAAGCCGCAGACCAGGGCGACAGAGATGTGCACAATCATTTTATCAGTTGGCCATCTTAAGGTTGACAGCAGTCAGGGCCGATTTCGTGCGAGAGTACTTTTAGGGCGAGTCCGCCTTCATGTTGGCGTAGCACCTGACGTCAGCCTAAGAACCCACGTGTTTCAGCGATCTAATCCCCCCTTCTTCTCGTCTGCTTGCTTCAACTGACCTTTTATCGATAAAGCAGCAGTCTCACGATGCCTCTCACTGAGCATTTGCTTGTAAGTACTCTAATCTTGTGGTTTATTGGTCTCCTCAAAACAGATATCTCAGATACAGTAAACGGGCACCTCCGATCTACTCTTTCCCTACCCGCTGCTGCACTGAGATAACTCCTAAAAGCCTGCAATTGCACGTGAATACATTTTAGCCGAACATAGCTGCGTACATTTATACACGTACTTTCTTAAAGGATTGCTAGCGTATTCCATGTCGATTTTGCAACAGTCTCATAGGCGATACAAGTAGAGATGTCTCTTTCGTATTTACTGTAGCGTTTAAGATCTGATATGTTCTGCTGCTGAATGTTTGACTCTCCTCCATTGTTGGAACATTATTGTTATTTGTCAGACGTATCGTGGTTGATATCGATTAGTCTTTATATTTACACGATCCTACGCATCTCAAGATGGAAAGGTGGTCACTCTATCCACTAAAATTGTGTCCAAATTTGAAAAGAGAACGTCGATTAGCCAGTGCCGTCGACAGGCCTACCTGAAATGGTACAGTAGGTAGAGTCTGCGGTGCAGATTTAGAGATCAATAAGTCTATCTCCAAATCCCCACGGACGTTTTAGAACCTGTGTTGGGACTTGTGTTCTGTACATGTTGCTCTGGCAGTGGATGCGAACGAAACCAGCCACTTTTTAAAAGGACATTTTAATCTCTATGTCTGTCTACTTGTTTGGTATTTTCCTATATTTCATATCTGGAGTACTTTCAGCCGACCAGCCTTCAGTACTACTTCCCGCCATCGCACTGAAGTTGATCCGCAATGCTAGATCGCCTTGGTCCGCGCTGTCTGCTGACCCCATACAGATTTGAGGAGCAGACGGAGGGAACCTCCGGCAGGGCGGAGAGTATTGAGCTGCAGATGACATGCCCCGAAGGCAGCTTGGCAAACCTGGAGCGTGCTCTGGCCAGGCTGGTTGGACTTTCGTCCCAGAAGATGCTCAGCCTCTTCTGCACTCATCTCAATAAAGAATCTAGCGTACGGAGCATTCTTCTGCCGGCACTCTTCAAGCACCTCTGACTCCTTATCCCGTCTTTCTCTGTGGAGGAAGCAGCCCTGAGATCCAACATTACGGTCCGGGTACTTGCCCTCTGTAATCTTTTAATCGGACATCCAGCATCGATATCCGGACAGATTACTGACGGATCTTGTGATGATAGTGGAATATCCACGTGCGTGTGTACAACTGTTTCTGGCTGGTGGTCTTCGACAAATAATCAATTCGACTTAGTAGGTAACTTGCATTTTTCAGTGAACATTTCCTGTGTGCAGGGTTAGGTTTCTGACGATCGACATTCCATTCACAAGTAGCTTTCCTCGTATTTTTTTCGATTGCTTTGGTGGAGCCATCGGACCTGAGCTCTTGGTAGGGCAGAAATATTTGCATGTTATCCCTAATTTTATTCCTCATGGCCCCGTCCTCATGAGGGATCAGTCTTGCTTCCCAGATCCCCGCATATCATTGAGCACAACCTGTCCTGTATTTAATGATTGCTACGGTAGTGATCTCCATTGTGCTTTTAGCTGTTGATTGACGTCACTTATGCTCTTTTTCCCCATGCAGTACGCATTATATGGCCTTAGGCCACAACGCCCATTAGGCTAACTCCCACCTCTCATCCGCTTAACTTGAACTTCTAAGAGGTTGGCACAGTTTGGAACCAGGACCCCGGAACAGGCAACCGCGTGCTGAAACCACCACAGCGTGTTTATTTTAAGAAACTGCCAGCTGACGGAATATGTTGATACTACGAAGGGCCCAAAGCCAGGCAGCCATAGTTCTTCCTTACCATTGTCTTAAGGTAACTACCGTCACAAGCGATTTGAGACCCACTTAGTGAAAGTTTTCGGAGCTGCGCGAGTGTGTCGTACGAACACTGAATGGATGGCGCTCTCGTGTGAACAGACGCAAGATCGACGCGCCTGGACAGTTGTGATTA